AGATACGAGGTGTTGTCGTGGTACTATTGTAACCACTGAAGAGCCTATCAGCTTCTGGCTATGGCTAATGTGCCTTTCTCCTCCCTCTGTTAATCTCTTTCTCCCTTGATCTCCCTTCTCTACCCCTCGTATTTTCTTATATATTCAACAAACCTCGATCCAAAGGATGATATTCAATGTTCCTAATCTAACGGTTAAAACATTATTACATGTTGAACCGTTGACCCATGACCCGGAGGAAAAGACAGTTTCGTTTCCAGGTCCGGTTTTAAAACATTGGTCCCAGCTATCCAGGATCTTGGCAAGGTGGACTGGATACAGACTTAGGCCTCGTTTGATAACACTTTTCAGAGGTCTGGTGTCTAAAAAACTTGCTTTTTAGATACTAGACTCGTTTGGTATTGTGTCTGAAAATCGATCTGAAATTTTAAGTTAATAGTCTGGCACTTGTGCGTTTAAACGTAATTGAGAGGTGTGTAAAAGACATAAATGCCCTCAAAAAAATTTTAATATTACACATTTTTGTTCTTCATTTAACTTGAATCGAACCTTCACTACGACTTACAAAGCTCCACCGCAGGTCCCCCACCACCGCCGCTGCACTCCCTCTCTCTCTCTCTCACCACCGCCACCGTCGTTAGCGGCAATTCGGTGAGTAAAAATAATAATAATATTATTAATTATTAAACATTATTTTTTATTTTTTATTAATATTTAATAATTATCTTTTATTAAACATTATTAATTGTTAATTATTTTTATTAAATAGTAATTTTTAATTTGTATTGTTTCAATGTTATTTTGAAGTTGAAAATTAATTTTTTATGAGATAATGCAAATTGAACTCAACATTTACAAATAATATGTTTTAGGTGTAAAATAGTAAAATAGTAAAATCAATAATTTCAGACGGTAAATGGTTGATCTAACACAAACAAACTTATGAATTTAGAGCCTGTAAAAAATAGAAAAACATTTATGCCTCTTTTACGATTTCAGACACACTTAATATATTTTTAACTTTTCAGATTCGAATTTTCAGATTTATCAAACGCCACCTTAACCTTTGGCAATTTCTGCACAAATTGGCTGCTATCAGACTTGAAGCTGCATTTTCACACTTGTCAACCTGAGATTTGACCATTGCCTTCGTTGCACCAAGCAATGGGCAAATCTACAAGTCAAACTAAAACCTCGTACTTGGCTGCCTTGCCAACCCATCTTACTTCTCTCATGAGATGTGATGTTTCTATTGCCAAGGCAATAGGCATTGGACTATCATTTTGGAACCATCACATGACCACCTCAGAATCTCCGCATACTACTAGATTCCCATACTTCAGAGGATGACCCAGAATTAAACCATGCAATAAGGGTTCTACCCCAGTGGAATCACCGAAACCAGCTATTCCTATGAAGATGGTCATATTCTATCATCATTCCAAAGAAGCATCCCCAACACCTAATTCCCATACTGCATCCACCAAGGTTTAACTTAAAATTAGAGAGCGGAAAGGACCAACTCCTTAGAGATAATGTTCCTTGCCATAGATGGAGCCACAATATTCCACATTTCCACCAACCTCTAACGATATTTGTGGTAAATGGGAAAAAATCGTCCACCATCTTTACCCAATGGAAGAGATCTTTTCCTCTCTCCTCCAATGTGGTCCAAATTATTGTTGCCCTTGTACATAGGATCTTCCCCCTCTTCTTAGAAGACAAGGAGGCTTTGAAGAGACCACCTAACTCAACCACAGGCCTCTACCCACAAGCTACAACCAAATAAAGAAATAAAAAACCTGCATATGCTTGAGAAAAAAAAAATACAGGAAATTGGTAGATGGAAAATGGTCTCACAGCTTGCTATGCACAAAGGGCAAATACTATGTGACTGTATTTCAATTTGGTTTTCTTTTTTGCAAGCTCTCAGTAGTATTAATCTTCATGTAATAAACCTGCCATCAAAAAGCCCTAATTTTCAGTGTACCAGCTCTTGCCTAATACCTTTCACTGGAAAATCCAACATGGATTGGAGAGATTGGGAAAGAACTCTGAGAAAGGAAGCACATGAAAGCAGAGCCCACAGGAGTCAGCTGACCGATGAAAAGATTATTTGATTCTCATACCACCCCCTTTATGTCAACAATGATATACTTCAAAAGCACAACATTGGACTCTCTTCTACCCACTTCCAAGTTCCAACCTCTCCCGAAAATAATAAAAATAAAATCTTCCATAGTAGAAAGTGCATGAGGAGCTTCATCTATAGTGAATAATTTGGCCAATTAATTTCTTTCACAACTCTAGAGATGGCAAATTGGTTGAAATTTACCCAGATCTACCTGCAGTCATCAGAGGCCTGTTCTCATAGATGAAACCGGGCTTTAAACCAAAAAGGGCATTTCCAGCTTAGACAAACATTTCCACAAGGTGCAAAAAGTTGAGTGATTTTTCTTTAGCTGTTGTCTTGACCGTGGAGTTGAAGCACAAGCACAAGGATTAATATTATTAATCAATATAATTAATGAACTAGTTGTCTTATGCATATTTTCTCATGGATATGACTTTTATATCCCCTCCCAATAACAACAACAACAACACTTTTTTTGATAAGTCAACAACAAAAATAATTTCAAAGTGGCTCCTCCTCAACCTCAAATATCTGGCAACTAAAAAAAAATTAAAAACCTTGGACAGAGGAATGACATGACCACGAAATCGGTTCTAGCATTTTTTTTCTTCCAATACTGACCAAAGAGTTACTGCTCTCAAATACCTCTACATGATTTATCCTTTGTTTTCCCTTTTATTACAGGAAAGCTAAAATTGTGACACAAAGGAAACACCCCATTCAGATAAATCCTTAATCAGATAGCTCTCTCTCTCTATATGATGCTAGCAAGGGAAGATGTTGGGAGGAGATCTATATTTTGGTTCATCCCTTCCTAGATAAGGGGGCTGGTGATAGTCAAGTTTTAGTTGGTATATAATTATCTGTCACTCTGATTGGACTGATACTAGGAAAGCTCAAATTTCATGGCCGCCCACAAGTACTTAGAAAACTTGTTTTTTGTTTTCCTTCTTCCCTTTACCGAAAGGAAGCTGTCTTGAATGCATGCCTGCACAAACTCAAGGAAGAGCATCATTCCTAGAATGTGGCTGAAAAGTTGGCAGAAAATTAACTTCATAGGAAAAAAGCACCATTGGAGAACTTCAGAATTACTGAGTTTTTAGCTGTATTCCAGGGTGCACAGCTTGCTAGAGAGATGAATGTGAACAGTTTGATAATTGAGGGGGATTCAAAGCTGGTAGTGGGTTGGTTGACAGATGCAGAAACTAAAATCTGGACCTACAGGGAAGCTATGAAAAGGTTTAAATGGTTAACCCACTAACATGAATGTAAGTATTCTATGGCAAAGGAGATTGGCCAGTGGGATAGCTGATTATCTAGCTAAACAAGGGGTGCACAAGGAGCATTTGTTTTGGGCACAATTAAAATCTGACTTGTAACTGAGGCTACATAATTGTAATCTGACTTGTAACTGAGGCTGCATCTTGCGCCTCTCTTTGGGAAACCTCATTGTAGAAGTTACTTGTTTGTTTTATTTAAAAAAAAAAATCTTCACTTAAAAAAAAAAAAAAAAGAACTTCGGAATTACTTAATAGTTGTGGCCAATGGTTAAACAAATGCATTGCATGGTCTAAAATGTCCATAAATCCCCTAATATTTCCAAGATATATGTCCATTTCTATAGGTAGCAATACGAAATTTTACCAGAATCAACCTATTCCCCAATAAACATTACCAGCAGTATGTGGAGTACAAGAGATAGTTTCCACAACATATTTCCATTTCCACTTCCACGAGTAGCAACATAAAATTTTATTGGAATCGACATATTCCCCAATGAACACTACCAGCACTATAAGGAATACAAGAGATAGTATTATAACATAAGTTGGTGACAATATTGGAGATATGTTGAGTAACAATGTTATTGCCCACCTAACTTACTTGATCACCACTCTGAGCTAGCACAATATTCATTTCAAACATGAAGTTAAATATTAGATCATTAGATTTTTTTTTGTGTAATAAATTATTTGGTTGATCTATTACAACCATTTACATTCCTATAAGTTTAAATTTTGCTTTAACTCATTCTTTCATGAAGTTTTGAATCTTAAGGTTTACAGGACAACTTCAGAAACGTATTATTTTGTCTATAACCTTAGTTTCTTAGCGTTGTTTTATGATTTGGAATAAGATAATAATTTAAAAAGGTATGTCTATGCTTATTTTATCATTTCATAAAATATCATTCTATATTTTTTTGCATATTTTACAATGTTACCACTATGTGTAATTTTTACAATATTTCTGACATATTTCCTATATTTGGACAACCGACATGTCCACCGACACCAACATTTTAAACCTTGATGCATTGACAATAACACGTGATAGGTATTACTCTTGTTATTCTCATAACCCAACTTAAGAATATTCTAAATGATAATTGTAAGAAACTACCCAGTCTTATTAGTTGAACAATCATGACTTAGGCTTAGGTTATAAACCTACTGTAGTAACCTCTCTATTTTGCATATCAGTATGCTTACATCTTGATAACAGAAAATTTGCAATGAGAACCCTTCAATTTTCAACAACACCATTCAAGCAATTCAATCATTTCGGTTATCATTTTCAGATATCAGCTTGCGGTTTAAGGTTCCTTTTGTCATTTGTTGGGTTGTTGAGAAAGAGAGGAAAAAAGAATTTGAAAATCTCCGCTGATGTTTGCAAACTCTTTATGGATTCGAATATCCAAAATGAGTTTTAGGAGAAGAGAAACATATTTATTACGTAGAGGTTGGTATACTGTAAGCATTGGGCTGTGGGCATTTTCCTTTGTCAATTACACTCTTGAATCATCAGTAAAACTTTTTTCTCCATTAATCCATTAAAAAAACATCATTCAAGCATACATCTTGAATAAGCAAAGCTTTCCAATGGGCTATTAACTGGAAAATGAGAGTACTGAAAGATATTTTATAAACCCTTCTAACAATAGGAAGTATATAAATTCCACAGTCAATTACATCTTTGTGAACGGTTGTACTTAGATTGGAAATATTGGAGCCCAATGACATGCTCTTTTACTAACTGGATTTCTTGCAATAGAACATGGATCCCTTGGAGCCTAGAACTGGTAATGGTCGGATGTTCATATTGGTAGCAGATGCAAGATAAGCACAGCTTAGAGCTACATATATTTTAAACCAGATGGATGAAAAAAATGTGACAAACATACAGATGCTGGTCAGTGCAATTACCAAGATAAAATTTTTTAGGCACTTCAATGTAGAGAGATCTCCTTCTGTTCCTTGATGAGGAAAATAACCTTGAGCACTAAAATCAGAGAGCAACTGATCCTTCAGTTGAAAGTTATCCATCAACCAAGCAGTAGCCCCATCTTCAGATGTTGGAATCTCACTGAGAGGGATACGTCGAACATGAATGTGAACCTCAGAAGGATCCACACCAAAAACATTGTCCATAAAGAAAGGACACCGATACTTGTACCCAATAGTGATGTCATAAACTGCAGTTAATTGAAAACAACAGGGGGAAACACGCAGAGCAGTTAGAACAAAAAGATTACAGAGAACAAGAAAAATGAAATTGGAGGTTAATAGAAGTGATCTCCTTCAGTAAGAAACTAATAGTAAGGTAATCAGAACTTTTGCCTTAAAACTGTGTCGTGTGTGTGTGTGTGTGATTGTTCAGACTGGGTCATTTGATAACTGAAGTGGCTGAGCTCAATACCAATGCATTGTTGTCACCTGAATGAGTGATGTATCTTAAAACTTATTATTGCCATAAGATTTAACAAGAGTGGTTTTATATGTTCCTGATCCTAGAATCACATGTACCAATTATTCCAGATACTGTTACCAAGTAATCCAACATTCTTGGATGGGCCTGCTTACCTACGGAGAAGTCAGAAAAAATTTAGTTTGATGGAACTATAACCAGGCAGTGGCCAGAACAAGGCTGCCTACACTGTATTGAATGGGAAAAGTATGGCAGCCACATGATCAAAGGCAGTGTGACAACCCTATGAGACCAATTTGGGTATCATTCACCACCTTTGGTGTCATATATTGTCATGTTTCCTAATGTCCCTAAATTTCCTAATGTTTCCAAAACATATTTCCATTTCTATGGGTAACAACACAAAATTTTACTGGAATCGACATATTCCCCAATGAACACTACCAGCACTATGCAAAGAACAAGAGATAGCATTATAATAAAATTTGGTGATAATATTGTAGATATGTAGACTAGCAATGTTATTGCCCGTCTAACTTGCAGGATTACCACTTTGAGACAGCTTGATATTTATTTCAAACATGAAGTTAAATATTAGTTTTTTTAAGAGGTAAAGTATTGTATTAGATTCAATTCAAAAGTACAAGGTTTTGTACAAAGAGAATCTGCACAAGCATGACCAGAACTAGGAATCCCCAAAAAAGTCCACCCTCAAAAAAGAACCAGAAGTATAAGCATCCCTACATACATCAGAAAGAGATAACCAGTCCCTCAGCTCTTCTATTATAAAATTAATAACCCCAGCCTCAGACTAGGCTTTTTGCCCAAAAACCCTATTATTTCTTTCCAGCCAAATAGCCCACTACACTGCAGATGGGATGACAGACCACACTTGTTTCCCTTCTTTAGACATGCCAGGCACTTTCCATCCAGCTAGCACAGAAGAGACTGATTCTGGCCAGCACCAACTCAGATTAATGGCCCTAAATATTAGCTTTTTTGTGTAATAAATTATTGGGCTGATCTATTAAAACCATTTGCAATTTCTATGAGTTTGAAATTTGCTTCAACCCATTCTACCATGTAGTTTTGTATCTTAAGGCTTACAAGACAACTTCAAAATGTATTCTTTTGTCTATAACCTTAGTTTCTAAGATTTGTTTAATGATATCGAACAATATAATAATTTAAAATATGCACCTAAGCTTCTTTTACCATTTCATAAAATATCATTCTATATTTTTGCATTTTTACAATATTTCCATAGGATATTTCTGACATTTCCAACATGTTTCCTATATTTGAATGACCAATATTTCCACCAAAACCAACATTTTAAACCTTGTATATTGTAGAAGCTAGATTTCTGAACCTGTTTTTGTCTGGAAGGAAACTACACCTCTTCCTAAAATTTTTTTTATTTGTTATGGATCCAGCAATCTATCATTAAAAATATGCAGGTTAATTGGTAATGCAACTCTAGAAATTCCTCTAGTAGATGCTCTAGTGGGGGTCCATAAAATGGGAAATTCAAGGAAATTTCAACAAATTTTGGAACAATCGAAGTCCATGGATTCTTATCGTGTTTTATCAGGTTTTCATCCCATCATGTGCATCTAATCCTCAGTTATTCAAATATATATTTTTAAAACCAATTATAACAATTATCAAATATGCTTTGTCTGCAACTTTTTCTTTATCATTTACTATGTCTACAAGATGAAATGGAAATTATTACAAAGAGTAATCACAACCAAGCTCTTTTAGTCAACTAAACTAAATTCATTAAATCCATGTCTGAAGTAGTTGGCATTGGCTACATAGAAAATTTTTCATCATTTCTGTCAGGACCTTATTTTCTGTAAATTGAGTCCATTCTAAACAAAGCTCTTAATAAATAAATTATTGATCATGTGGAAAATCTGTCAAACCATGAAAGAAGCAGGTAAGCATACTGAAGCTTATAGAAAACATAATTCCATTAAAGAGAGAAGATGCTTGTAAAGAGATAAGATTTCAATAAATTGGTTAATTGACAAATGTTATCTTTGTATAGTAGCCACTAAAATGGCTTTTTAATGTAGCCACGATCTCAATTTTGCAGAGTATATCAAGTCAGTGAGCTGAACCAGCTCAGTGCATATTACCAGCATCCCTAAACCAGAGAGACAACAAACTCTTAATTTCAGAAATTGAAGATTAGACAAATGACTCTTGCGAGAGGTTGCAATATTCTGACTAAACACAATAAACTACTTTAAAGCAACAGAGAACCAAGAAAGGAAATTACCTGCATCCAGGGAACCCCTCAGAGCTTCCAAGCAAGCACAGAAACCCCTTGTTTTTGGAAGAAGAACATTTTTCAGGATAGGTAAACCATTCTCAGCTGCAAACTTTTGACTACGTATGCATTTCTCTTCTCTGTAAAGAAAGCAAAGCAGAATCCTAGGTGGGCAATATAAAAGTATTAAAAAAAAACTACAATGCAAAATGTGCAAGTTCAATGAGTTTTTCAACAGCTAGAAATAGACACTGAGAATTAGCAGGTTAGATATCCTTTGAACCTGCAATTTGGAGCCTGTGGAAAAACATAAATACATTTTTCTAAAAGGCAAAGAAAAGTAGCAATAGCTATATTACAAAAGATCCTAAAGATGTGTTTTATCACTTGATAGATACTTTGTGTACATGGGATGCAATGGGATATAAAAGGAATGTGAGGAATTACGTATAATCAGTGCCCTCAGGAAAAACAGCAAGCCAGAGGGGATCTTGAGGATCAGTAAAAGTTGAAAGCATTTGACGCATAGATGATTCATCAAGTTCCCATTTCCTCTCTACTGAAATAAACTCCATAATGTGAAATCCCCAACCAAAGACTGGTAACTTCATCAGACTGCTCTTGAGAACATACTTAATATATCCCAGGCATCCCTTCCGCAATGCAAGGTCCCACAGATACATCCAGTCAACCTCAGTTCTATGGTTAGCAATGAGCAAAACACGTTCTTCTTTAGGAACAGATTCTCCAGAAAAAACAACTTTAGTCTTGTTTATCTTCTCAAAAAGAAAAGGCCATAAAGCCAACCAAGCACCAAAAAAGAAGGATGTTGCTTTCCTGCTATAGTGTATGCTGAAAAGTCGCAAAATAACAGCACTGACAGGGCCACAGTACACTAGCATCATAAATGCTGTTGAAAGTAGCACAACTAAACAAACAACACCCCTTAATAACCTAAAGAGAGTTAAGGGATGGTGTTTCGGTTGATCTTTTGAAATTAGAACCTTGTAAGCGTCCATCTGATTCTCCAAGAATATTCAAAGCCACTTAATCAATAGGCCCTATACTGTTCGTGCTAGATAGATTTGCCCTAAGATCACTTGAGATGGTGTCGAACAACAAGAGCAGGGTCACATGTCCATTTCCTGGGTGCAGTTCACCAAGTAAATCTCGACTGTTGAGAAAAAGTATCAGATGACCAATCTACTGGTTGTAAAGGAGCACTTGATCTTGGATTTAAAACTTGGAATAACTGATAGGGAATTGTAAGATCCTGAGTACTTTAGCTGTATCTTAGTTAACAAAAGATGCATTTAGAAGGCCATCGGCACCAATGACTTTCAAAACGGTAAAGATACAATGGAAGAAAATGGGCAATTATCTGTTAACTAACAGAATATGGATTATTTATTTTTACCTGCACAAAGAACATAATGGTGGGATTTAGCAATGACAAGTTTCATATAACATATCAAAGAAATAAAGATCATGAATGCTGAGAAATAATGAATAACAGTATCTCATCCTAGTAACCAGAATCATAAACAAAATTATTTAGCATGGAGCATCTATTTGAAAATACATGCAGGATAGAAATGTTAACTGAGTAGCCAGCATCAGTGTTTAGGTAATTCCATTTTTTTGCCATATAGAGCAGAGTGTTAGTCAAGAAATGGCATGCCCAAAAAATTGAGTGTGGCAAAACACATGCTGAGATGGATGAGTGGAAAAAAGGTCAGAAATAAAGTTAATTGAAGGAACTTGGGAGTAGACTCAAATGCTGATAAAATGAGAGAAAGTAGATTAAGATGGTTTGGTTACATGCATAGAAAGACCATCTACAGCACCTACAAGAAGAAGCAATCTATTGCAAACTGAAGGGGCTAGAAGGGCTAGGGCAAGACCAGAAAGAACTGATTTAAGCACTTAAAATTTAACAATGGATATGGCACTAAACAGAACATAATGGTGAAACAGGACTCATGTAACTGAACCCATATAGTTGGAACAAGGCTTAGGTGGTGATGATGATTTACTAACCATCAAAAGTTCCAATGCAGAACGATATGGCACTTTTGTTTTGTTTTCATATAGAGGAGCTCTTGGTGAAGTGATGTCTCTCCTCTCAAATGCAAAGATATACATTGGGCAAAGGCATACACGAAGCCATAAGCCAAAGAACCAGCTAGCTGATAAAACCAGAACTCTAGGTGTTGGGATGAAGCCAACTAGAATGGAAATACCAAATAAGAAAGGACAATCTTCTTTTAAGTAATACAAGGAGGAAGAAAAATATTTAGGTCCATTTGGTTCAAAGTCAGATCAGAATCGAAATCAGAATGGTCTATTCCCATGTATATTCTCTGTTTGGTTCAGACGGGAATCAGAATGGGAATTGGAATCAGCTGGAATGAGATTTCATTCCCAAGGGAGGGGGAAGGAATGGCCATTCCCTCAAATGGGGAATGTCATTCCACCACAAATGAGAATGGGATTCCGATTCCGTCCAACCAAACAGTTGGAATCGGAATGGCCCATTTTTTATTCTGATTCCAAACCCCTATTCCCTCGAACCAAACAGGCCCTCAACTTCTACAATACTGATCCTGTTTTCTGAATGATCCAACTATCCAAGTATCCACCCAAGGATGAGAGATCCCAGAATGTCCATGGCATAAAACAATGAACTCTAAAATGATGGAAAGAAGCCATTTATATTCAACTTATAAAATCACGACAGAGCATGAACATTTCATGGTCTTGACCGCTTTTAGATTGAAACGAACATCGTCCAATGCAGAGTATGAATGACCCGAACCTACCAGAGTTTGGATTAAGGGGCGGGGGAGGAGAGCACAACTGTCAATAGAGTTCACAGTCAAGTCGAAAATCCAAAAATGCTTGTCATCCGACTGGTCTGACAAAGTAGTCCTTAGAGTCCACCAAAGGAGAAACAAGATCCCATCAGATTTCTTCTGAATGTCAAAATCCAGTATTATTCAAACCACTGCAATCCCAAAGCTACTGAAAGCCCCAATTTAACAAAGTTGATTTAATTTTTCTGCAAAGCAAACAGATCCTAATAAGCGTTGATGTGCACCATTTTCTCAAACTTGTGATAAACAAGACAATATTTCAGGACCAAGTAAACAGAGGGCAGGGGAAAACCCACTTACAGAAATGACCATAGACAGCATGATTCTTTACAGTTTAAATCTTACTAGAACGGAAAATGAGTTAGATAGAAACATCCTAACCTAACAAAAATCAGAATATCTACAATCCATGAATTCCTTGAAGACGGATGACTGTAAATACAACAGACCTGAACGTTCTCTGCCACGTAAGGTAGGAAGGAGGCTCTGCAAGATCCTACCACTAACATTTAAAGCCGGCGTTTACCAAGACAAGATCTTGTCTTCTTGTTCTTGGCTCTGAGGCAAAATCGTATGGGACCGCAATACACCCGCCCCCGCAAGAAAGAAGAGAGAAGCAAGTGATAAAAAAAATAAAGAAAATAAATTTTATTTCCACGACTCATTCGCGAGGTCGAAACAAGATAGAGGCAGACCATCAGTCTCCACAGTAGACAGGCATATAAAACTGAGTTTAGTCAACAGAAATGGTGAGCGTATACCAGCCCACACTATCCTCGTATATATAAAAATTAAAAATAGACAAATAAAATGGGGGAAAAGATCACCTAATTCCCATTTATTAGAAAGAAAGAAAAGGCAGCAACTATCGAACAATACATGACCCAAGCCTCGGATGAACAGAAAAGTAAGTTACATACACAATGAAAGAGCTACGATTTCTAACTCATCGGGCTTTTATAAACGGCGGATACTCTGAAAAAAAAAATCGACATAATCGTCGTGAAAGCAAGAAAAAAGCGAAAGAGAATCACTTACGTCAATGAAACTTTGGGAGAGAAGAATCCCTCACGGATCAAACGAGATTCCAGAATTCGGGGAGTTTGATCCCATGACTCTTGAGCCTCTCTGTAGTTTGGATGGAAGACAAAGACAGCTACAAAAATATGTGGAGACTTGAAGAAATAGCGCAACGTTGTTGCAATAGAATACAGCCACACCCACACCCACACCCACACCCACACCCAGTGAAGTGGAGGGGGTATATATAATTGATGTTTCGGGCCGGGTAGCCGGTCTGCCCGATCCCGACAGTGGGGTGCGGGTGGCGGGTGCATTTTTTCAAACTTTTTTTCTATCTATTGCCTTTACTGACGCACGAGTTAAATGTTGGGGCGGGTTGGGTTGATATTTGTTATACTTTGTTGGTCTTGGTTGGATTCATTGAATTGAGGTAATTAGTCTAAGTGTCTAACCCGATCTTCATTCCAAGGTTAGGCCTGTTATAAGTTTATAACAAAATAATAATTGGCCCCCATAAGACATAATATACACGACAAAAGAAAAGAAAAAGGGGCAGAAGGATAAATGGTCATCCGCTCTCCTCCCACTATCTCACACTCACATATACATGTCGCCATTGTCGTTTGAAGAATGATCTAAGAATATTCGATAGGTTGTATTAAATGCTTGATTATTTTTAGACTCCATTCCATTTGTAAAATCTCGGCTTCAAATTCCTAACCACATGTCCAGAATTATAATCTATTTATTTATATGGAGAACTACTTTACGAGAGAAATACATGGTCTGGTTTTCAATCACGCAAGAAAAAAAAAATAGATTAAAGTATACATTGGAGAATTGCATACATTTGTCAATTATACAAATCCCCACTCTGTCGGTGTTGAGATCTGTCACATCATCCCTTACGGCCGGCCTCACGTGACAGAGATTAGAGTTCGTTGTGACTATGCTCTTGCTCCCTAGTCAGTCTCTACTACAGCTGCAGCTGAAGGGAAAAGCAAGAGATGTCTTTCCAAACAAGTAACAAGATAAATATCACATATGGTTTTAGGTTGGGCTTTCCACCCAATACAACCACATCTTACGTTGGTCTTCGTCATTTCAGTTTTGGCCCAACCCAAATTGCATCCCTGCATCAACCTAGCTGGTGAGTGGTGATGGAATCTTATGAAATTTATTCTTATGCAAGGCTATAGTTATGGGATTTTGCACGCCCATGTGCAAAACCATTGCATGAGGAAGATTTCTCATATTTATTCTCAAATCTATATCCGGTCTGCTTGTCTGTCTTAAGTAGTAAGACTAGCTCAATATGACAATACATAGCACCACCAATACAACATTCCCTACCTTTCGCGTATTTTTTCCTTCAAATCAAACACAATTCAAAAGATTGCTGTCCAAGTCCAAGGAGGCGTGGAATTATGGCTAGATCAGTTTAGAAGGATTTGTATTTGTACTCTTTCTCAAACATTACAATTATGAAAATAGACGAATATAGACCATGATCAATTCTCAATGAAAACAAAGGCAATATATGCATACCATATCACAATCATGAAATGTAATAGAGAGAGAGAGAGAGAGTTACAAGGCATATAAAATGACCATCAAGTACGGGTTCTGGACTGAAATTGTAACTTATTTGCTTTACTGGGTATAGACGAATCATTTTGTTCCACGCAGCCATAAATGTAAGTGATGGAATTAATGAGAAGTACTTGTGGATATGGCTGGCGTGGAACATCAACTTTAGCTAGTCCTTCTCCAATTACAAGCATTGGCTTTGAAAAGGAAAACAAACATGCTGATTTTTGGATTTAACCTATTAATGGAATGGATCTTCATCTTCAGTTTGGAAGGAGTATATACAAATACAAATATGTAGACTGTAAAACCATGTATTTTGCATATATTTGTATTTGTACTCCTTTCAGACTGAGCCTTTCTAATAATCATTTATGACCTACCAACAACCACATGTAAGATTAGATCTAAGTGGGTCTAGAGCTCAACCATACACTCTATGACATCTAACTTTCAAATTACTATTATATATTTCGTGAATACAGATTTGCTCCTCACACATTTCAGCCATGCATTAAAAAGATCTCCACTCCACAAGAAAAAATATTTTCTATGTGTGGCTGAAATGTGTCGTGAGGTTAGTGTGAGGAGCCTCTATGAGGAGAAGATTTGGAATATAACAAATAACCAACTTATATAAAATAAATCTAAAACTGGTAATTTTCTGAATTCGATTTTCTCCTTGCATCAATGTGTGTCTACAAGTGCCATGAGGTTGCTGGTGTGACGAGCAAAACCGGATTCATTACTTTTTTTTTTTTTCTGCCTTAATGGAGCAACATAGAGATAGAGTGGGGGCCTGGGTGAAGGGGGATAGAGGCATGTCCCCACCCCAATCCTGATGAATGGGATTTGATCCCAATCAACCGACCTGTGGGCTGTGGGTTTGGACTTACCTATTAATCATTCCTGTTAAGGTCGTGTTTGATTTGAAAGAAAAGGTAGGGAAAAGGTAAGTAAGGTTTCCCCTCCCCATCAATAATTAATTCTGCACTATTATTGTTGTTTCATTGATTTTGAAGGTTTAACTCGTTAATCCCTTAAACTGTCTTAACAATTGGATGGAGTTATTCATTATGATCGAGATAATTAGGTTGATGCACATGAGTGCCCGCTTGAGCCGGATACTAATTTGATTCCAATTCAACGGCTTGAATTTGAAATATGCCAAGCATGTGCATGTGTTTGCAATTTATTGAATCGTCTCTTGTAGTTATAGCCCACAATCAAGGTTTGAAGTGGAACCGCTTTAGCCACTAGTTTCCAGGTCAATGGTATCATCATTTGGTTCGAATAAATTGAAGAATTTAAAAAAAATAATAATAATTAAAATAAAAAATGGCCAAAACCATTGAATGGATTGATGATTCGACCACCTGAGTCAGTAGGTCACCAACCAAATCAATGGCTTTTGGTCAAGGACCGGGTTGAGGGTGAAGTGGAACCGGTTGTCTAGACAGTTCCTGGGCCAAACGGTCTGACCGCTCGGGTCAACAGTTATTCAAAAACACTGCCCACAATACCCAAAAAAAAAAACATCATGACAGCCCTTGCATGCCAACATTGTTCAAATATTAAGGCTGGCAGGTAAAATAACTGTATTTTAAAAATAAATTAAACTTTAAAATTATTTAATAAAATAGGTAAGTTTTCAAATTTTAGAAGTTATGGAATTAATAAAATTCAAATTATTGTATTTAAAAATAATAAGAAGAAGAAAAATATTTGATAATTAATTGCTAATATATGATTGGATTATTTTTAAGATTAACAGACAAAATTTTAAAATCATGTAATAATAAATTTAAAATTAGTTATTACTAATTAAAAATACATTTAAGTTCCACTTAAAATAATGATATTAATAAAAAATAATTTTAATCATTTAGTACAAATTAAAATTAGTTTTAGAATTAAGATGGTGCAATGTTTTAAATAAAAATAAATATATCACAATTAATCAAAAATGATAAGTAAGGTGATATATGCTTAAGATAAACTATTAAAAATTAAAATTAGCATTTATTAATTTAAATCCATTTTAAATTAAATAACTTTAATTTTTTAAAATGATTAAAACACATATAATTAAATTTTAAATTGATCTCAAATTAAAGTTTTAATCAAAATTAATTAAAATATTAATTAATTTAAATTTAAAATCAAATTCCCTTATACATATCAACTACATGGCAATTATTAAAACGTGTCATGCTTGCAGCTTTTCTTTTAACATTTGTTAAAACATTCCTTATTGGCTACCATGGCATTACTAAAACCTCTCTTCTTCTCTCCCGTTTGTTCTCTCATCAAATCACTTGACTTCAAAAAAACTCCCCAACCTAGAAACTACACAACAACACGGTAGCCCACACTTATAATATTCTGCTTGCATTCGTTATATTAGATAATTTTTATACAATCCATGCATCCCTTTATGTTATACCAACTGCCATGGCGATGATTGTAGAGAGTCCCATACTAATGTTTATTAATTTGGAGTTATAGCTGTTTGTTGGACAGTTGCACATCACATATATGCAAGACAAATTTTCATGGCCTTGAGGTCTATGCACTAAACTTTAATAGGTAGTAACTAAACCTGGCCCCATGCACAGGTAATTCATCTACCTACCAGCATTTATTAATACTAGTAAGTGTACATTGTTTTGTAAGTGTACATTGTTTTGTAAGTGTCCATTTTTTTTATGATGATGACAATAAATAACATGTTTTCAATTTCTTTATGGTTTTTATATTTCTGTCAATAAAAGTTTATTCTTATTTGTCATGCTTATTTTTATTTAATATTTTTTATTTTGTATTTTATTTCTATAATTAATAATAATTATTATTTTTTGCCACACTTGTTTTTCTTTAATATAGTTAATTAATATAAGATTGAATGAAAGAATAATGAAACTTAATACCCTAAATATAATACTTAATGATGGGAATCAAATGAGAAATGTAGTATTTCAAATCACATTTTGTGTTATGACAATTAGAGAGAGACCAAATTCAGGTATTCTGGTTAAAAATAGGATTCAATGACTGTAAATGGGAGTTAATATCTTACGACTTAATGAGATGGATCTTTTTATGAAAAATGAGATGGATTTAAATCAGGATAAAAGTGGTTGTTCAAATTTTTATTTTGTCTTAAATACAAAGAAAAACTATTGCTTTGTCGTTATAATTAAAGAGCAACCAAATAAAAAATCGCGGTATTTTAGTCAAACAAAAGTTTTACACTCTCACTCACACTTTTAATAATAAGTAGTAAGTGTGTATGTGCTTTGCACGTGGCAATTCTAAATGAACATAATTATAGTAATAATATATCCAAAATT